ATTTCACAGTTAAGAATGCGGAAAAGCTATAACTTAGATTTTTTTATACTATATGATTATTAATTTGGTAAGCCACTCATGCTATTTCATTTCTCCGAATCATTCAGCACAAACAGTTTATGAGCAAATATTTCGAGTTTTAGAATCGTTCCCAGAAGCTCATCTTTTCACCATTTTCCTTCATTTGATGAAGTACGTATCTAACCTAACTTACCAACACTAGTGGGGATTTTTTTTTTCATTTTTTATAATTAAAGTTTTCCTATAATTGAAACTAGATGTAATTAAATACATGAGTTCTTTATAAGCTTTGATATTCGTTATTGGCTTGATGACAGTATATCTGTCATTCCTTTTAATTCTTAGTATTAGTAGCTCGTTATTTAAAGCAGTGACTTCTTATGACATTTCAATCTTTATAACTTTCTTTCCTTCAGTTTTCTCCCACTAATTCACCAAAGATGTTAACTTTTATGATCGATGTTTTCTTTGTGTAATTGTTATAATAAAAGTAGTGCAGTGGAATAAGCATAATTTGCATCAATGTGAATAAATATAATCCAGTTTTTTAACAGTATCCTTTTTATTATTTACTTGTTAGTCCTCATTTAACTTGTTATTTTGACATGCATTTTAATTCTACAAGATGCAAATCAAAGACGGCGGAAGTTAGACATTAGAAGTAGTACGACTTTGTTTACCAATTTGGTCTGCTGTCGTCCATTTGGTGCTATTATGCTCATCGTGTTTCTGCTTCCCTTTTGAAATAGGATGTTACCAGCTTAAGAGTTTCTTCCGCCAACATCTGCGAACTTTGCAGTTTATATTTCTTCCGCTGCCTTGTCTAAGTTCTATTTTAAAACCTTGCATAAAGAAAGTGTTGACTGATCTGTCTTTGCTTTCAAATTGGTCATAGAAACAGAAATCCAAATCGAATCATTACTAGCCTGATATGTGTTTCATTTTGTTGGAAAATTTCGATTGCAGCAATACGAATGGCGACGAATAAATTGGGAGAACCATCTTTCATTGATGATAGATAATCTTTCCTTTCGTAGGCACTCATTTTCATCTCCGATCACTTTGTTGATCACTTTATGAGGCATCGCACTTATCTCCAATAGTAAAAGTTCATGTCTCATTAAGGAAGGGTTCATAGGCTGAGATAGATTTCGAGATTGCCACTCGAACAAATACTTCACGCTTTTATCAGCTATCGTAGTACTTCGCACTTAGTGTCAGCAAAAGCGAGTTAATATTTTTCGAAAAGTTCGCAACCATCTTTGAAATATGCATTGTTCTTATATTTCAACGAAAAAATCACCTAAAAATAAGCAGCTTTGTTTGAAATCGATGCAATAAGTTGCGAGATCAAATGCCAGTGCCAACGACTTATTGAAGACTATTATTGTTAATTCATTTTTGATTAAAAGAATTGAAGAACTGATTTGTTGTAATGAAAAAGAAAAGTTTCTTGTAAATTTTGATTCCTCTCGTATAAATATCAAGTCAGTAAGAAAAGGAAATGGCAAGGAACGTGTCCCTCAAAATTTTGCTTTTGGAGGTGTTCTTGATATTACCTGCTGTGCTTTCATGTTAGAAAAGAGACGAAAGGCGTAATATGCTTTCACCCTATCTGCTCTGTTACCACAATTCCCTTGCGGTTGCTTTTCAGCACAGTGGCTCTTCATTATACATTTGATAAATAGGCCTTAGAAAAGAAGGCCTCCAGTAAAGGCAAACATATAATTCTCGAAGGCAGAATATGATACAAAGTTAGAAGCTATCCCTTCTCTAAAGTGGAGGAACTCTTGAAGAACCTTAATGAATCCTCCATCAGTGCCAGTTGTGCACTTTTCAACAAATATTTTCAGTAACATATCGAAGAAATCCTTCTATGGTAGAAATGTCTAATAGAGAAAAAGAGAATGAAAGCTCTATTCTATCACGATACCATCAACTCAACTTTTACAAATATCAATACTATTACTGCAATGATCTCCAACACATATATGTCCATTTTGCGATTGTCAATCGTTCATCGAAATTTTGTATTTGTCCTTCTTGAAATGAAGCAACAAAATTTTAATATGTCTTTTCGATTTGGTTGAAGTCTGAAAAGTTTTCCACATATTTCAGCATTGCTGAGTTTATGCTGCACCAACGATTAATGATTAAATTAGCAGAAACGTATTGATTGTTCCGAAGAAGGTCTTCCCTGAAAATTTTTCCACCCAATAATTGGTATGCAAGGAAAGCGTATCAGTAATAATTATTTATAAATACTGAATTCCCCATTAGCGTAACTGAAATTGTTGCATAAAAGCATCCTTTTATATTTATTCTCTCTCATTTCCCATTTTCATTTCTCTCAGCAAAAATATCTTTTATTTCATCATCAATACAATGTTGGCAACAAAAAAAAAAAAGGACGGCGCAGTTTTCCTTCCGGCATTTTGCAGATTAAATATTCATACCCATTTTCAATAACGAAAATATTTTATTGCTGAAATGTATTATCACTTATATCATTCCATAACAGTAGTTTCAGACTTTTCTTTGCTGTTATTCATATATTAAAAGATGATAACTCTGTTATGTGATGAATTTTTTAAATTCAAACCTAATGTCTCGTCATATTAGAGAATAGCTTGAAATTTTTATCCTGGAAGCTTTAAATAAGTTTGCAGGTTGTCTTTGCTAGGTTACTTAGCTAGAACCAAAGCATTAGTGTGCCTAACTTTAATTGGAAGTAATGGGGTAAATAAATTTGCTATCATTTTCTCCTATACGATCAACTGGTACTATTAAATAAATTGACAACTTCGTTTATCCACATCAAATTTATTATGAAATGAAATTTCACAGTTAAATAGACGTGGAAATCAAATGCTGTTTCTATACCGACTTATTTTTTTTCTACCTATGAATATAAGCAAAAATGAAAACTGTTTTACTCAACATAAATCCTTCTGTCCCTCTTTCCTTCCTCTCTCTCTGTGACTAATACATCTTGCGACAATGAAATCAAACCATTTTGATAACTATTAATAATTCTGAACTCAATAGCCTATATTTTTTTTATCGTTTATGTAATCACCAAACGTATAATATTTAGTAATGCCAAGAGAAGTCACTTTCAGCTGCTGCAAAATTTGCGACATTCACAAAAAGCCAAAAGCTCTGTTACTTTATTCTTCGACTTCCTTCTTGAATTCTCCTTTGAAGCTCCTTTAGATCTATTGAACATATAATGCCTAAAAAGAAATAAAAATTAAAATTCATTTCTTTTATGCCCAGTATTTATAGATACTGATGTAGAAATCCCGCGATCTCTCGTACTACAGAGTATCGGATATAGCTTCTTCTTTTCTTTGCATGTAAAAAAAGCCTTTTATGCTGGGATTCGCTCAATCTTTTACTCTTTTCCGTTACTTACTGATTATTAATCTGCAAAAACTGTCACTCTTCTACATAAACCACTGAAAATATAACGTACTATAAATTAATATTTTCAGAAGGAAATTAAATGCCCACTGGAGCCAAATAGTGATGCATTGGATTGGTGGATTGGCCGGTTGTTTCCCATTGCAATAAATACATTCCAACTATAAAGATGCATTTTGCTGCCTAAATTTTTAATTGGAAATATTAACAGAGCGCTTATCTTCTTTTTGTCATCTCACTTCGTTATTTACCTTTTATTACGTCTACTTCAAGTCGCGTCATATTGCTTAGATGAAATTCGAGATTGTCATGCTGGGTTAATCTTTGGTTTACAGAAAAATCAGTAACTTGAAATCAGTGGCTTTTATAGTTAGAGCATACTTAATAAGATGGCAAAGAGATTTTTTGGATAATAGCTGTTACAGTTCTCTTTTTAAAATAATTTTCATTTATCTTCTTTCGTTGACACTGAATATTCCAATTTCCAATTAACCAAATTTATTCTTCAGTTAATTTTTAGCAGCGATTATCTCAGTTATTTCAAGTTTTCTTTTAAATGAATCACTCTGTTTGAATATGCACTAGTTTTGAAACCTGATAGATGATTAATTAATAGACCCGAGCTTTCCTTTCTCACGATGATACCTCGAAGGACAATAAAAACGTTTGTCTTAATCGATCAATAAATATTTTGGAAAAAAAGGCGAAATGGTTTTCTGTGCTGAAAATAATTTTTGATTGGACGACATATCGCTAAAAATGGTTCCAATTATGTCGTCTTAGATAACTCGCAAGAATCCCTCTTAATGAAAGCTATTTGATATCTTATAGGTTTAAACTACCGTTATGAATATGAGACTGGAGAGATCAGCCAATCCTAATCATATGAAAGAATTATAAGACTAGGAAATTTTACATCCTACAGAATACATGTGCTTCTCAGTTTGTAAATTTTACATCTGAATCTTCCCATTAATTAGTAATTTTAACGCTATTTTTGCTAGTATTTTACACTTGAGATGCACTGTTTTTTCTTTTGCGTTTTTTATAAGAGAAATGACTGTCGTAAAATAAAATTTGTCTTTAAGTTTTATAAAGAAATTTTTAGAGATTTAGTAACGATTGCGCTTTAACCGAAGTATCGTTATACAGGAAAACTCCGATAGCTTAAAGTGTTGTGAATATGATTTAATTAATGCCGATACAGGAAAGAGGGTAAGTTTATCCAGTTTCTTTGCATCTCTAGTGAAATTGCCATGTAATGATGATCTTTAACAATTTGAATTTTATGTTGTTTTGCTATTTTCCTTTCTGAAGAGTTTAATTTTGGAAATTTTTCTCCTCAAAATCTGAGCCTGGTTTGCAGCTTTAAATTTTGAAAAAAGTAATTCAATAAAAGTAATACTAACTATTATACTAGAAGTCTGCCTAAATGTTTGTGCTAAGAACACCGTTAATGAATCAAGAGACTTGCAGAGTTTGCTCGCAAAGTCATTTTGGACTCAACTTTTGTATATTACTTATTAATGAGTTATAACGAAGCTACCCGAAGGATGTATCAGCATTACCCACAAGATATGATACACACCTTTGACACTGAGCATCTGTGTCAAGCACAATGTCATGTACCTTGCTCTATGAAGCATATTAGTGATCTGATGATGCAGCGATGGCTCTGCCCTGTCAAGGTATCATTCATTTTTGAAAATGTTTAATTGCAGTATAGCTCCACGTCAAAAACTTTGAATCATAGATATTAAGACAACAGGAAGTTTAGTTACAAAGTATCTGGCGAGACTTGTGCGTTCCTGAACACTGTGTCTATTTCAAATCAAAAAATATCCTTTTCATGTCAGTGGTTCTTGGATCTTATAGGGTAGATGTTAGCTTACAGTTTAAAAACCATAATGGATATGCCACGCCGAAGTCAGCAAACAAGCATTCACCAGTTATCATGTCCATGACATTTACAGAATATTTAGAAATAAATAATGGATAGTAAAGCTCAGAAAATTCCTCATTATTTTTGATGAATTAGAACATAATTTTAAGGCTGTAGGTACCTAGTAATTTTGTCATTCATGCTACTGTTAACACTAGAAGGATAATGAAAAGGAAGTAACTTTACTTGTTTATTACTGCAATAATAGTTTGTGTAGCACAGAAAATTTCTTGCTAATTTTAAAAGGCGCATTAAGTGCTGCTAAATATTTAAATTAATTAACTGATACTTTAATTGGCTCATTATTGAAATAATAACTGCTTTTTTGTTTCAAAACATCCAGAAACATTATTCGACAAGATTCTGGTAGGAAAAAGGATGCATATTCGTGATCTTTTTTTCCAAATTTAAATCCTTGACACATGAAATTCGAGCATTTTTGTTATCTGATTTGATGTGTGCTATAGTGCTGAAATGAAGCGTATTCCCAGTAATTAATTCATCAGAATAATAAGGGTATGAGGCGGATCATTTTCAACAATAAGCTATTAAAAAGGAGTGTAGAAGTATAATTTCGTTGGAAAATTTCGTCATATGAGAGAAGTCCTTTATTTGCACATCTCATCTTGCCTCGAGGAATGATGATGGAATTTACAGTGCTCAATTAAACCTCAGGTTTTCTTCAACTATCTTATTTTACATTAACAAAATCTCTTTAACATTTTCAGGAAAAGAATGAATGGAGTAATGTGCCATCTGAAGATCGTTTTTTGACGGGTTTCACCACAATCATGGCCACAGTCATTTGCCTTGCTGTTTTCGGTGTCTTTTTATTAGTTTGTATAACATGCCTCATCCGAATACATTGCTGTAGATGTCGCAGGAGTAATAATACATAAAGCTAATAGTTTTCTGCCTTCGTACATCATTCAAAGAGAAGCCAAAGATCGCAATCCAAACAGAGATTCAAGCTAACATTGACAGATTTCTAGATAAATAATAAGCGACAGAAAATAAGTGAAATGAAATCTTCTGGCACTAAAAGATGTAATTTCTATTAATCCATATATTATATTCATGATAAATGACTTTATCATCACTCTCATTCACTGCATTTTTTTCAATTATTTTTCATGTTTAGTTCTTAATTTTTTCTTCTATTCAACTTCATAATATCAAATATATTATACATGATGCAATGTGACATGAAATATATTCTTCCATTTAGTGAAATGTATTCCGGAAATATATTCTGCATGGGACGTTTTGTTCGGTCCAAGTTGTCATCTCTTTTCCACCGCACTTTATATTGTACACCGCAGAACATGAGCAGACATGGAAATATTAGGTGTTGTTGAAGTCCAAAATCAATAATTTTAAATAACTTTTACAAATACAGTCAAAAATTCGAAATTCCTCCTCACTTCATCACTGTTGCAGAAAGCCTTTTGTGAATGTTATATTGTACAAGTACTAAATTTACTCTATTTTAGTAACACGCACGTCACACATTAAGAATAGCAATGGTGATTTGAAAAACATTTAACCAAAACTCAATTCCAGAGCTATCAGTGGAGAATTCTCATTTAATTCAAAAACAAATTAGATACAAGTAATTCAAGATGCGATGATTATTAGCTTCAGTAAAACATGAATCAACACTAAATAAACAAATTAGTAGAAACAATGAAACGGTATTGTTTGACATTGAAGGAATCGCTTTAATTAGTACTGAAATGAGTGTGAAACAAAACAAAGAAAGCAATTGGAGCAATTCATGCAACCTTATAAAATTCTTTTTCTCGCAGATTGCTCCTTCTAATAGTGTCACACAGGGAAAATGATGCGTTATGAGAAAATCGAAATGCTTCTTTATCATTACTTTTGAAGAGCTAAGAAAGCAGCACCATGAAAATGTAAGTATGATTGGGAAATGCAAAAAGGAATTGGTTGTGTTTCTACCTCAGATAAGCTATAGAGAGCATCCCATTAATTTTAGAAACTTAGATGATATTCAGTAGCAAATTCGTGAGGATGTCAAGATTACTCCCTCCTAAGGTCCAGAAGATCCACAAAAAAAAAAAAAAAAAAAAATTCTTTCACCAATGACTGTTACTGTGAAACATAAAGATACCAGGCTTCATCATTCCATTGACTAGTAAGCAATCATAAAACGGCTAACTATGCTGTCCTCACTCATTTATTAAAAATAGATATTAAAATTCACTTACTCTTCAGTGTTAACAGTATACCAGCTGCTTTTTACTTCACATATTGATCCCACCAGTATTGGAAAACTTATTTCGAAGTAACGAACATCTGCGCTACGGAATAACAAGTGACCGCTTATCAGTTTGCATTAGAGTGGAACATTCTTCGCAGTGGACCTACCTAAAGTGACTTGTGCTGGCACATCCGCCTGACATTCTACAGAGTTCTCTTAGTCCCTTCTGCAGTCACTCACTCCCCTCTAAGTACTTTACTGCAATGACGCCACTTTTATCATCGAAGCGGCAAGCACGTCCCTCCCATTGCTATTACTATGTGAATCTCCGAAGCCATACTTGATAGAGAGCTGCGATAGTAGTGTCGTTCCTGAAACGAACGGGACGGGACAAGTGAAGGCGTGGTCCAGGTTTCACGTACTTCTGGAGTGCACGTGCTTCTTGTACCTTCTTCGACTATAGGTACTTGTAGAGTCCTTTGTTCAGTCATTTAAGGGTCATCATCACTTGTTTTTCATTTTTCAGGTAGTAATATGACCGTGCTACTCATCCTGATTTATTTGGATCTGCTTTTTGGTTCAACTGGTGAAAATATGGATTTAGATTTACACGTTGATCGAGAAAATTGGCTTGATCCGAATGATCCTTTTTCGCCATCTTCATTCTGCACCAAAAACACTCTTGATCAGTTGGCCGTCTGTCAAGCGAATTTCAAGAGATGTATGAAAGGTAGCAAAGTATGTCAGATTTAACATTACCTGGTTATCAGTAAGCATAAATGATCAAAAAACACGACCTCCGGTTATTTTACTTTCCAGAAAGCAGAGACAATTAAACTCATCCGATTGTTTTAGAAACATTGGAAACAGGCATAGCTAATACTTTTTTATTTTCTTTCTTCTCAGCCTTAGACTGTTCTCATCCGCACCGATATTGAAACATAAAGCGCTAAGGAAAATTGAGTGGATACCGGAACATCTATGCTCGAAAGTAACGTAACTGTATGAGAGTGATCTACTTAGGTACTGGCTATTTGCTTAATCTTCTTCATTTTAAGGATATTTGTTTCTTCTTTTAATAACAAAACGTTCCTTTTGATCAAGTTTGGATCTTAAACTTTGTATTATAAATAGAAGTGTTGAAACTTGGTTTATACAGTTTTATTACTCTGAATTGTCACCTCATCCTTGCTAAGCATATTACGAAATCGACTCAGAAATTCAACTGTTTTTTCTGTTTAGCTAGAAAAATTAGTCCTTGACGATTAACGAAGTTTCGGGATATTTTTGATACTTGGGATATTTTTGTTTTCGTTTCTTTATTTTGATTTTGTAATCTTTTAGAGGACTGTTCAAGAAATTTCAGTTGAAAGTCATGTTGAGGGTCATTATATTCACGATTCGACGCTGAAACATATTGTACGGAATTTCTTACATCGTATGGATGTTGACATTGATAAGGTAGAATGATTTTGACAAATCCTTCAAATCCTGGTTCTGCGTGGTCCACTTGTTTCAACAAATAGATTTTATTTTTTACTAGAGGATTTATTTCACATATACACTTTATTATTTAGGGTTGCTATGAAATAACGGATCTGATTAAAAAAATCAGTCGAGACCGTTTTAGTATGATTCCTGATTTTACAGACAAAGCGCGTTGATCGAATTGTAGAGGTATATTTAGATGGCGACAGTTTGGCTGTTTTGAAGAAGTATTTGAATTCAAAGGATGAAACAATCACCGTGCGCGAGCAAGTTCGTGAAGTTCTGGAAAAAATGATTGTTCTGGTAACTTTCTTAGCTCTTTTTGATTATGATCTTGTTCTTCGCAAGTTTTTATCACACTCTGCATTTGTTTGGGATTATACATTTTTCAAACTGGACTGTTGCCAACTTTTTTTTTTTAACGAAATTAAAGAAAATTGTATTTGCAAATAAAATCTGAAATACTGTTGATAAAATAGAAAAAAAAATGGTAATAAAGATTTGCATATATCTATTTTAACGAAACAAATATGCAAATAATAACCTACATGTATTTTTAATGATAAAACGAAAAAGATTTTGTATCTCTTTGTAGCAGCACTACGAAGATATATCATCTGTCAAGCGCATCTTCGATATGGTTGTAACTTTTTTACCTTTGCTGAATGCTGTGCTGTTGATACCAGCTATAATGGTTCTCTATCGTAGTCATTTTTCGATGCGTTCTTTTATGTGGCTTTTTTTCTTCATATCATTTATTATATCAATGTTTAACACTTTTCATAGGAAATATCAGGTGATAATATGATTTTATATGAGGATTACAAAAAGTTTTGTGATATGTCTCTTTCTAGGATTAATTCCTGCTTTCCTCAGAATGTTAGCGTGCTGTAGCTTCCAAAAAATAATGATTTCTGCTCTTCACTTCATAAGCTGAACTGTTTGTTTGAATTGGTGAGTAGGTGAGATATTGTATTTTCGATTTTATTATTGAGTTAATCGTTTTCGATTATTGTAATTGATAAAAACAATCTAAGGAAGAATTTGTATTGGTAATCACATTAAACTGTGTAGAATAATTTTGTAACAGGTACGAAATATTTGAAAGTGTTGGAATCTTTCTTTTAAAGTGACTTATTCATGTATGGTGCTTTTTCTATTACTGACTAAATCTGAAACTTTTTGCAGGCGAATATTGCAGCTAGGATGTCACGTGCTGAAAAGTCAGTTGCTGAAAAATGTAAAGCAAATAATTTCTTCTCCACTGCTATCAATATGGTATCGGGATTATTTGTCTTCAAAGGAGAAGACGAATGTGAACAGCATTACAAGGTGTTGGTTTCTAAATTCCGTCACACATTGATGTGAAACGAAAAAGTTGATTAGGATGGTAGTGTAAATATTGAGCCCCGGTTCGCCTTATATGACTGTTGGATAAGGAGTAGAGAAAGCAGACATTTTGGGAATGGAAATGCAAGAAAAAATGCAGAAAATTGATTATAAAAATGGTAAAAGTAGGGCGATTGTACTACAAATTCATCAGTTCCAAAGAGGAGAGAATTAGTTAACTTATATTGCTTACTGTTTCTAGTTTACTTAGTCCAGGTATGCGGGTTTTCAGGATCTATATGTTAATCCTATATATGAAATTTCACTCTTGGATGTGATTTGCGAGGTCCTGTCAAATTTTATATTTACTTCTCTCGGTGTCTTTGGACGTCATTTCAATATTTTTTTAAATGAATTTCTTCGTGATTCTCCGCTGCACTTTATTGTTGTGAAAACAATAACTTTGTTTTTCCTCATAGTTCTATTTCTTTTTTGGCTTGGAGGCTATCGATTGCGTACTTTCATGGCTACGATTGAACCAGCTGGTAATTGTATATATCATATTCAGTTAAATATTTTGCTTAATAATTTAATTAATGTGGTAGAGATTTAGATGTTGTCATTGATTTTATTTAAAAGATGAAATTTTCAGTTTTATTCACTAAGCAACGTGGCAGGCATTAGTGAATTAAATTGCAATAAATTTGTGCTTGCAGATACCACTCATGCAATGTCACAAATACTGCAGACAGTCGATCATTGGTCTAACGAAGAAAGACCGAAAACAGACACTTCAAAATCGACGATTCTGCGAATTGGTCTAAAACCAGTTCGTAATACAGTTTCGAGTAACAGGCGCCGTTCACTGAGTACATCTCGTTTAAGTTTGTTTAAAGTCTCAGCATCAGATCATTGTTAAGGTAAACTTAGGGATATAATATTATATACATTTTAGTTCTATTTATTTAACGACTGCCTTGATATATACTTATATATACTTTCTACTCCAATTTGTATCTATGAATATTTTCATTCTTTGCTATTACGTTTTAATTAAGTTAATCACTTTATCTTGTTTTCACTGGTATTCACGTGTTGTTTCTATGCTCAATACATTTCATGCTTAATTTTTATAAAATTAGTTTTTTAAAATGTTTGTTGGAGACATAGTTTTTTGTTTGTAATTCTTTTCTATTTAAAATACTGAGCAGTTATAGAACTATGAAAAGATCCATATTCAGGTATTTAATTTTTTAATAGATTGCGAGCTGTATAGCTCGTTGGCTTAAACAAAATGAAGTCGGTTTGCTATCTGATTGATTTTCTGTAAATAAAAAACTGTGTGTTTATATTGCGTATTTTATGGATTTATCATATTTAATAGTGGAATAAGATAATTCACATTTATAATACAGTTGTATTTATAATAAACCTGTTGCGTTGCCCCCAACATTTTTATCATAAGTTCAAAATATATATATAATGGAAAAGAATAAAGAATGATGAAGAGTTTACTAATAATGATAACTCGGTTCCGCAGCTTTTTCCATTCAGAATTATTCATCACTCATGATGTCGAGGATAGTATTCTGGCGGTGATATTGTAGCATTCTCGTTTTGTAGAAAGCGGGGCTTTGGTCCGTCATTGTCGGAAAAGTGTTAGTTTTTATATACGCCATAAGCGGTTCAGTTCCATCGCTAGGGTTAAATTTCTCCGTCGCTGAGGCGAAAAAACGGACCCTTTCAGTGATGATAATCGCGGTATTTAGGCCAGACGAACTTATATGAAATCTTAGATCGTTTGATGAGGGCGTCATCTTGTCTGTCCCATCGATATCCTTGGAGGGAATTGATTGGCTCTACTGCTGTTGCTGTTGCTAATTCGAGCCTTCATCATATTACTAACACTGCTCGTTCACAACTCTGAATTTCCTTCCCTGCTCAGTTCACTTCATCTGCCAACGCCATCAACGGCTCTGTTACTGTTGCATTTTTCAGCTTGTGTCTTCTACTTCAGTGCTTATATCACTTCACTTGTTACCTATTCTCAGTATTATTTTAATTGGTCAGAACATCCCACGCACACTCGATTATGTGTTAATGGATTTCAGAATTTCAACCATTCTTTGCCAAGAGCCTGAATGCCGTGAAGCAGTTGCTGCTTATAGGTAATCTCTCTAAGCTTTGCACTCCCTCATTCAGTAGTAGATACTTAGCCAATTCTACGGAATCCTTCTCCTTTTCTTTCAGGAGTAAAGTTCAATATAAGTATGATTATTGATTCCCATCGTATTGTTCAACATAACGTGTTATTGCTTATTCAAGTTGAAAAAATGGAGGATTTGAATATTATTCTTTGTAATTACAGCACATTATCGATTATCATTTCCTACTTCATCGAATCATTATAATGATTTACTGGTCGAGCTATCGAGATCACATGATCGTGCAACTGGAAATAAGTGACGCTGGACGGTTTCTCTTGGCTTCCTTGAAGTTTTTGGGACAGAACTTCATTCTCGTTCTACAATCTTCAACTATTGCTCTTTCAAAGCATGTCAACATGGATGTCTCCTAATAAATGCACCCAATTGAATCATTGTCATCAACCGCATGACATAATAATAACTCTGCGATATGCAGTGGACGATTTACAGAGCAGTTCTAGTCTGAATCTCTGTCTTTCAAATGATCGATTGTAAGGCAAATATATGCTTGACTAAAGGAATTATTAACAACTACTTCAAGAGCGAAAGTCTTTAATTTAATGAGCAGTGCTGGTGCTATTTTCGTGCAATTGTGTGCTATCTGCAATTGATATTTCACGTATGGATATGAAGTGAACAAAATCTGCATATCAAAATTTGTAATTTGCAGAGTGGAAAAAGAATGCTTCCTGCATTAGTCAGCATTCCATTACTTAGTTGTCAAGGTAATAATGCGACGAGATTACCGCCTCTTTCATGAATTGATTCCTACACTTGCTATTATGTACAGAATTCCAGAAAAAACTATTATTCTGCGTATCATTTTTTCCAATGTTTTTTTCATATTATTTGTTTATTAATTTTTTATAGTACGCTTCCGATTCTTACGTTTGTTTACGCAAAACGTTACATTTAGAAATTTGCTTAACAGTTCTGTAGTTGTTTATAACCTATATTAGCAGATTGAAAGCTGAGATTTTCTACATTTGATCCGAATTGAACCGGTTACACACTTTGCTGAAATTTTGTACATTCAAGTTTACCCGATTCAATGGATCAGGTTCGAGTACAGACCGAACAGCTTCGTATCGAAGCACAAGTTTCACGGAAGAAAGTGTCAGAGGTCTCAAAAGAGTGAGCCTTTGTTTAATTGATAAATTTCTCTTCATTCCAGCTTAAATTTACCAAGTTAATGGTAACTTAAGTGATATTGCGTTATGTTATTTGACACTAATGTGACATTTTGGCATTGATTCCAAGTTTATATTTTTTATCTTTTACAGTTTAATAGAATATTGCGAACGGGAGAAGCAGCATGATATGCTCGTCAGTGGACCTATCGATAATCACAATCCATTTCAGGAAAAGAAATCTTGTGCTGTACTTTAGCTACGCTGCTTGTTGTTATTCTTCCTGCATACACTTTTATTACATTTATGCAGTTATTTTGGAATTTCTCATTTTAAAAATTAAGTTCTTTAGATTCGGTTTTAATGATACTTTTGTTTGCTTTTTTAGGGATTGAAATTGTTGCTTAACATTTGTTCTCAGGGTTTTAAGCATTGTGATAATTTGTGGTGAACTGTAATAGTATTCCCTATAAGAGTATTATTTTCTAATTTATGTAAATTTAGTCAAGCTTTTATAACAAAGTAAAAATTTATGGATAGAGAGACTTGAGAGAGAACTCGGTGATTTTATTTTGGAAATTAATCTTTTCTCTAAGAAGCCATTAACTCACATCACGTAATAAAGTAACTATTATTTTCACACAGAAATATCTATGAAAAACTTATTTAGTCCATTTTAAATAAAGAAATTTTAAGAATTGACATTTGTCCCTACATTTGTAAGGATTAGTAGTGCTAACAGCAATATTTTACTGTCACAAAACTAAACCACAGAAAGAAGCTATGACTGTCATTTGATAGTAGAGGTTTTCCTGGAACGACCTTGTTCCATATCAGTCTGCTTGTGAAGACTTTCTTAAAATCTTCCTTGGGCAGGATTATCTTATCAAGATTATAAAATGAAAATTAAACATAAAGCTCTTGAAATAAAGTTAACACAGACTCGTGCAATGAAATTTAAGCATCGGGATCGTTAAATGAAATTGGATTGTTTTAGGGAAGAAGTCATCACACTAAGACAATAGTGCGAAATTGGATTTAATAGAAAAGTAGGAATAGTCCAAATGAAGACATCCGCAAAAGGTCATTATTGGTTTAGTTCTCGGAGCATAGAAGTTTGGTATAAAAAAAAAAGGAATTGATGGACATTTCTATCATCTTCCACAATGAAATGTAAATAATGTTGAACATCATTTCCGTTTCATCTTTCACACATGAGTAGTAAAAAAAAGTGAAACGGACTAACTGATCTATTCAAAATTCAAAAATGGAATCATCGTTAAAAGCAAAAATAATATGTAAAATTTTTAAAGATATTATAAGAAGTTATTAGGAAGTACTATCGTAGAAAAATAGCTAACAATAGATCTGTTGATAGTTAATGTAGGAAGCTTGTTCATAAATCAAAAAACCGAATTTCTGTTTGTTCAATCTTCTATCAAGAACAATTCTATCAACAATAGCAGGTATGTCACAGATATGATTCATTTTTGAGAGCTTTTAATTCAGATTTCGAGTAACAGAACGAAAAAGGCAGCCATAAAGTTGAGAGATTTAGTTTAGCAAAAGCACAAACATTCTGTGCAAATGGAACATGTGGAACTTCTAATCGATGTAGGTTTTTTTTTTTTTCTCATCGAATGAAAGTTTTTGTTATTTTAATTTGATGCCAGATATAATGCGTCTGACAATTATAATGCTAAGATTCCAATTGTCAATCTCAAGCATCCGTAATTGTTCTTAGCGATGTTTTCTTCCTGAAAATTTTAAGGAAGCAAAGAATAAGAATATAAAGCACTTTTTAACTCTTGAAGATCAAGGCTCTATATGTAGCCAACATAATTATTTGATCATAACGATGACCGACTTGAACGTGGATAATTCAGTAAAAGTCATTTGGAAGAAATTTTTAAACATTTTTTGATTTTTTGAAGATAGCATGGTGCAAGAAGAGATACTAATTATTTAAAAATTCCATTTCCAATATTACTGAAATCTCATTTTGACTAGTCGTGACAATACATACTACTTGGCAAACTGTCATTTTAGAATACAGAAAATTTAATATGGAATCTTACTTCTTTGATGTTAGACCACAAACTGCAACGGCATTTTGTGCACAAACATTACAGACGGTAGGCCTGAGTGTATCTCTGAGTCATTATATTCACCGCAACATTCGACCGTACAATTTTCTCTTCTGTTTTGCTCCTAACACTAATACAGTCTATCTGATACGAATATTTTCCGCTACATAAAGTTGCTGTAGAAAATGACGCGATTTTGATTTGCCAGTTTTTATTCGAATTGTTCAAAGAATGATGGTTGACATCATGCAAACCATAAAATAATGGTTAATCGGAAAAAAGTTATTTTAATATTCATATTAGATAGATGGATGTTAATTGCAAATAGGTTTTTTAACAATGCTGAATCAAGCAGAAATTTTTCGATATCAGAAAAGGTTGTACTGCTTGAACTGATAATGTGATATTACTAAAATTATATATTGTGCATTATAAAAAATTACTTTTTGTAGAACACCTTGAAAATTGACGAAATGGCAAGCAACAAATTGTAAATTCAGTCCCGATCCTATCATCTCAGTTCTGATATACTGTTGTGTTGGTGATATCAAATTCTGGCTCTACCTGTTACTCTTACCTGATATACAAAAGATAATGAGAAAGAAATATTTCCGAGTAAACAATGTTTATTCTAAGTAAGCCGCTGAGAAATTTTCGGGTATCTGTCATTCAGATTTTCCAGTGATAGTGAATAAAATAATGAATCAACAGCATTTTTCTGATTAATAACATAGAGAACATGTGAAGCAATAATTCCATTTTGTCAGTATTTACTTACCTTTCACCATATATCGTTTACTTTTCCATATTCCATAATTTTCTTGCATTTTATGTGTGTGAATTTGTAGTAAAAGTTATTCTATGCTAGTTATTTCCATTGTTTATCATTGATTAAATCAACTCTTTTTGATATAAAAGAAATATCATTTTCTTGTTAAAAATACATGCAAAATGTTTCTCCTTTTTTAGAAAAAAAAAAATTTCTTTCCTATCACTTTCAGAAAATTAAAAATGCGATCAATATGACATTATGTTTTGATCCTATAGATTATATATCTTTTGCAGTATTATTTAGTTGTACGGTTGATATTTCATATGATTTTTATAAACCGTTTGAGTGAGAAGTAATTATACATTCTTTCAACATCTCTGATATTCTTTCAGCAATTATGCAGTGAAATAACAATAACAATTTTCAACTGATTCGTTTTTCCTTCGTTATTTCTAAAAACCGTTTATTTGAAGAAGGTAAGGAGTAACTTTATTAACTCAGTGAAAATTAATTAAATTTAAGTTTTTAAATCACCTTGATCATTTTCACATTCGTTCTTCTAATTTTTGTTTCCTAGGAAAGCTAAACAAAGTAGAAACAGGAAATGAAATTCCATTTCAA